CAATAGAAACTAGTAGTCCATCACTGGAGCTTTTTTTTTTTTTTAATCCGATTAACCGATTAATCGAACTTAATAATCGGCCAACTAATCGATTATGAAAATAATCGTTAGCTGCAGCCCTAGTGGATTACAAAGAATACTGATTGCAGTAAAGATAGTGGAGTTTCTGATGTCCATTTACTTCCAGTGTATGCTGGACAGCATTATTAGTTTACTGATTGATTTTACCTGTCGCCTGGAAATGCTCATGATAGGCCAACTAAATATTCAATAGAAAAGCATTGCGCATTGCCTATTAAGGGAAACTATAAACTGTAAACTGTGTACAGATAGCTCATTGCTCAATGTCCACATGATGACTTACCTCTGTCTGTAGCGGGAAACATCTCGCCCTGAGCGTGACATGTCCAGCCGAACATCAGCAAGAGCAGCAGCTGCACCTTGGGCCACCGCTGTAGTGGACTGAGGGCGATGATTGGTGGAGCAAATGGACTGGCTCTTTCCGGATGCTCCCACTACATTGTGGTTGATGGATCGTCCTGATACTGGTTTAAAATGAGCTGCCAGGGTCAGTATAATTCTCATAATGGATTTTAAATTACCATCAACTATATCTATGGAAAAATAAAGAAAATTAGTGTAATCCTTCAGACATAAAGTATGTAAAAATGATAAGGAGACACAGACATAGGGTATAAAACTATGTAAAACTCCATGTTTCCTGTATAAGTTGCATTCGGTCCTGCCATTCCCAACCCATTCTGGATTTGCATTGCAAGTGAATGTGGTTAGAAAATAAGGAGTCTGTGCCAGATTGTGGGATAATTCCACCAGTTCCAGTCATAGTTTTCAAAAGCAGAGTGAGCATGTACTTTAACAGTAAAGGGGTGTTAACTTATCTTTATTGTAAATGAATTTATGGCAGCCAATATGCAGTCATGTTCACATAGATATGTAAATGTCAATCAACAATATACTCTACATACGACACCGAGGGACAAACATTGAGGTATATGTGTTGTATCTCTCTTATGTCTCATTATCTTTCTTTAGGCAAACCCTACATGGCCACAGTATTCACCAGTAAGAGATACTCCAAAGAGACACTCTGCACGTTGACTGTTGGACCATGTAATGCCAACCTATAGATATGATGTATAAAGTGATATGATGCCCATGTGTGCACTTCCAACATGCAATCATGTGCATGGAAATTCAAAAAGAACAATGCTTTTTCTTCATGTTTACCTATTTGTAGTGAATACATATGCACTTTGTCATTGCCCTAGTTTAAAAATGGTCAACTCAAAACAGGGGGCCTCAAATGTGGCCCGTGTCATTGTCAAAAAGCTGTGCATAGAAATCAGTGATTTTAATGCCACAGATAGCTGTCAGAGACTGCAACAGACATGCAACAGAAGGTGGTCAGAGACTGTGAATGCCTCTGCTATGGAAATTTGTTAGAGAATGGGAACATGCTCTAGGAGACAGCCATAGACTGAAAGCACATCACATGAGATTGCTAAAGGTCACTGTTATTACAGCCCCTTTACAAATCAATAATTTCACATCTGTGCTCCCAACAGCCCTTTAAAAATGACTTGCGCAACATCTGATATTACTCTCCCCAAGATCAATTATAAAAGATCATAATTAAAAACAAAAAGGTAAAAAGAGAAAAAAGGAAAGACAGAACAGAAAAAAGAATACAACAAACCAAACAATATAACTGCTAAAAGCCAGTCTAAATGATATTTTTACTTCACTGACTAGAGCATTTACTAAAAAACAGTCTACTACCTGCTGGGGCTTGGAGGGCCACACAGTAAGTGCCAATGGGCCACAGGTTGTGTACCAGAGCCCATACTTTATACTTGAGTAACTCCAGCCAAAGTTAATTTCCTTTCACTTCACATTTCAGTCATTTTTACCCTAAGGGCCCATTTAAATTTTTTGTACGCGTTATTGCAACGCACGGTAGCACACATAACATGCGCTGTGATGCCATTTATTCTGCATACCACAATAGTAGTGCAATGCGGTGCATTGCATTAGAGAAAATGGTCATGTGCTTTTGAAGTGCACTAAGGTGAATTAGCAGCCCATGGGGCTTCCCTTATGCAATACACTTTAGCATGCAACATAACACCAGTATCTGGGCCCTAAGAGTTTCTTTTTTTTCTAGCTGTCCAATTAAGGGTCTAAGGCTCCTATTTTTCATGTTACACATGTGCTAGTTAGTAAGTGGAGCTCCACTAGTTATACATGTTCACACCTAGACTCAGTGTTAAAATGATGCTGCCCTCAGATCACCTCTGATGATGGATCCGAACAATGGGAAACACATCAATAGTGTGTGGGCATTGAGATCAGGCAGCAGATGTCTTTTATGCAGATGTATCTTGTAATCAGCACATGTCATTTTAATTCTGTGTTTATTACACTTTCTGAAGCAGACTTCCTTCTATTCAGAAGAGAACAATACGTTGCAAAACTACCAATGTGTGGAATTTCGTTTGATTCATGTCAACACCAACAAAAGGGCTCTTTCTGAACAGCAAAAGTAAAAATGTAGCAAAAGAAGATTCGGCTAAGATACATGCATGAATAAATAGGCTATTGGGCTCTTGGTGTATGGGACCTGTCCTAATTACAAAAGGGCATCTAGCTAAGCTTGAATGCAGGCTGCGGCACTGGTCTGCACTGGCGCTACAGTCTTTTCTTTGCTCCCCTTTGATCCATTCAGCAGCTAGGAGCATTTCTGGGTATGGAGGAGCATGTGACTTAAGCCTGTCATTCACACATGCTAAATCGGGCAAAATCTGAGCCGTACGTGGCCCTGTTGGCACCCACAGGCCCCACAAAGGAGCCGGGTGGAAAATTGTTGGATGAACAGTGACTGCATTCTATCGGATGCAGTCACTGTTCGTGTATTCAGGCACCCATGGGTGCTGGTGCTGTCTAAGTACAATAGCCGGCAATGCAGATTCCTTCATGCTGTTTAGTGTGGATGGGGAAATCAAGTGACTCATTCTGTGGGGCTGAATTATAGAAATCTCAACGTGTTTGGCTAGTCGCACTCCATGTAACAGTGCTCGACCAATCACCAGGTGCCAGAATTTTTACATGGGAAGTCAAGAGATCTCTGTAAGCTATAACTTCAGCAAATTATAACATACACAGGATGGCTTCTCCAGCTTCTGGCAGCCAAAGAGAGCATCGAGGAAAGGAAGGAAAGGTGACTATGTGCTGAAGAGGAAAGGAGTATTAAAAGGAACCTGTTGCTTGGCTACACGTGGGCAATGCAAAAGTTCACTTTAAAGTAAACATGTTGCGCATCACTGTAATAGAAACTGAGCATATGATGAAAAAAGCATAAGCAGATGTCAGATTCAGTGGAAACTGCATTTTAAAACAATCGGTAGATTGAGAACATTGGCTGGTTTTGACTGCTAAATGACAATGACAGAAAACCCAAAACCAATGTTCTACAGCTTTCCCTGGGTCACCAACCCTGAATATAGCTAGCAATAGTTAGTCACGTTCAAACTGTACTTGTTCTGTAATGTTGAAGATGTTCTGTTGCTGATATAAGCAACTTGTACCTTGACACCATCTGTCATCCACATATAATGCCATTTTAACATCTCTGTCCCAGCGATTTGACAATTGAGACCTTCAGCCATGCAACGTGAATGATCAACCGATGCCCCATGCTTTATTGCACTGTAGTGATTGGATTTTAATTGGAAAAGGATGGTTTCACAAATTTAACACCTTCCATCATGCTCTTGGATAATCAACATCTGCCTTGACACATTTCATGGTGATGGATGTAAGTGACCAGAGTCGCTATGAATGCTGGGGAATGTTCCTGATACTCATTAGAACAAAAGAAGCTGCTTGGATGAGTAGAAAAAAAAAAATCTGTTACATTATAGAACAAGTCCAGTTAAATTTGACTATGACTACAACTAGCTGTACCATGACCTTGATAAATGAGAACCTTACATACAATTCTCAAAAATAGTTTGGTCGCAGCAAGGGCAAAAGGCAGGATGACTGCTGAAGATATCTAGTTTCCATAGAGCCATCTAGGTTTTTTTCATCCATAAAGTAACATAACCAAGAGACCAGCTATAACAAATGCTGAACTGAACTACACAATACACCTACCTTTAGCTGTTGTTTGATGCATCCTGATCTTTTTAGAAGCCATAAATTGTAGGACTTTGTCCACATTAGCCTTCATTTCCTGTGTGCTACTTGGCTGCCAATGAATTCCATCAAGCTTCTCACCGGCTGTGGGAGAAAAAAAGCAATATGTCTAATGCATTAACCCCTAATACCCAAGCATTTAGATAAAACCTTCTTATAGTCACTTACTACTGCCAAAGGTTTTTTTCAGATTCTAAATGGCAAAAGACATGTCACTAAAAACAAATATTGGGTAAATCTCAAAAAGCTATCAAACAACATTGAAACAAAGCTTCTTGCAAATAATATTAAAACCCAGCTCCATCTTGCTAACCATAATGCAGGGTAGTTAGATTATCAGCTCTATTGCCATTCATTTTGTTACCTAAAGTAGACCTGAAGACAATTGTTTTAACCTCTGTCAGATTTGTGTCATCTGTGTTCCATTAGGGACATTCCACTTCTCCTTGTGTCCGATAGTCACAACAGGAAGTGAGAGGGAATCCCTCATGGTCAGCAGAGTCATCGAACTAGTGTGCCCATTGAAAGACTTCCCATCTATTCCTGTTCTCATAACAACCCAAAATCTGGTATTTTCTTGTAGTTTACTTTCAGTGATAACAGTCACTAGGACAAATAGAGAGGGCAAATCACTCGGGGACACAGACAGCAAAAACAAACCTGACAGGTGTTCTGATCCCTCTCTACTCTATCCAAAACTAAAAAAAAAGTATCCATAGCCAATGCATTTTAAATTTTGGATAGAGTGTGGAAGTATTAAACCCTACATCAAGTTTATATTATTGTTGGTGTCTCCCCTTGAGAGATTCGCCAATCTATTTATAATGGAAATCAATGTCACCGAGAAAGAAATTGAGAGGAAATCTAAAATTTTACAAATGTTCCCAGAACAAAATGTAAGGGGAAAATTTCCACTGAAGGTACCTGTTCTGGAGGCTACTGTCTAAAAGGGGAATTCCCCTAACTTTGGGGGGTGTTCTCTAACTTTCTACTGCGTCTCTGGGACAGCAAGAGGTATTTCCCCAATGGGATACAGACAGCAAAAAAATGTCCTGGCAGACTTCATAGCCTATAAACTTAAAAAAATAAAAAAAAGTTTTGGCTATGCATTTACATTAAGTTGACTGCTTGAAATATCAACCATGCCTGCTACTAAATATTCTGAATTGGTCTGCTGTCGTGTAGACAGGGGTTTATTTATGAAAAATAAAGAAGAAGAAATCTAGAGCATGAGCGTGGTCATGTTTCTGGCTTGCTGCTTGGTTACAGTAAGATGGAATACCTTACCTACAAATATACAACATGATCAAAAACTGAAATTATGAACCTGCTCCATGTGACCTATAAGTATGCATTAGGCTGCATGATCATAACATTAATACTATATATTATATATATAGTCAGATGAAATATAGATTCCACTAAATCTCAACCACATGTGTGGTTTGAAAGGGGCTATCCTCATCCTGCAGAAATGACACCTCCTCCTCAGAGTTCTCCTAAGAGTTCTTCCCCACTTGAAGCTAACAAGAACTTATGACCTTATTAATGTTATCCCCACGTCATTGTGCCCCTACTCCCTGTGCCCACATTTTTACCACTATCACTGAATCATTACTTCAAGGATTCTCCTCTGTTGGTATAAACTTTCTACTGTGGTGGATGGTTTTCCTAGGAGACTCTACCTATATTATTGCAGCCAATACATCCCTTCGTTAGCAGGATGTGAGCTGTCAGATGCCAGCTTCTGTGCCAAGTGATCAGCGGCAGTATTTAAGCATCATGCACTCTTGTCAATCATAAGTATTGGTGGAGTGGGGATTGTAATCTATGCAATGTATGTCATCTATTAAAGCTAAAATCAAAGCAGATATAAAAAATAAAGCAATTAATGCAGTTATGTATTCATTAAAACATCATGATTTATCTGCATTTTGCTGTTCCCTTACTATCCACTCACCAGCTGAGGCCAGGGAAGTACTAACCCTTTTTTTCTACAATTTATTAGATTTTTTTTGTTCAAGTGCATTATATTTTAATGCACCTTTCTGATTTAAACAGGGAATGTGTGATTTTCTTTGTCTCATGATAGAAGTGGATGTATGAGCGAAGGGTCAACACAGTGATACCCAAGACTGGGCCTGCATCTGTGGCTTGCCAGGACTGCACAGTGTATAAACGAGCAGATTAAAATACAATTAAATGTAGAATAATGGAGGAAAAAGGCACAATTATCTATACTCTTTATGGAGGATTTAGAATTTAAATGTACTTTCATGACCACTTAGATTGGCACAGTGATTTAATGTGACGTGTATTATAATGTAAAATTGGGTATTTGTGTTCTGAATACATTAAAGAATTAAATTAAACCAGGCTGCTTCTTTATTCCCTTCAATAATTCAGCTGCCCTCATTATTTTTTTCCTTCAATAGAGTCTGCATTCTACAAGAATACAGGAGATGAAGGGTTAATATTTGCAACCATTGTGGGAAAATAACTGAAATATAAAAGACCCAGCCATGGTGTAAAGGTGTCACTTGACACCTGCAACAGTTATAGAATGATAACACATTTGGGATCGCTATGGGCCAGAACAGAATGCCAGACAACCTTAAGTCACCTGCCAGAAAATCAGCTAAAATGGAAATTTATGAATGGTAAATTATTGTTTTCTCAACTAACCCAGCAAAAATCGCCAACTCCTTAGGTTTCTGTGATTCACAAATAATAGCACACTTGAGGAACAAAGGAGGGACAAAGGAACTTGTCATGTTCCAAAGCTGCTATCTTGATTCTTCCTTTATTACCTGATAAGTCACTGAACTCGATAAACCATGGGCATACCGGGTGGCAGATAAAGCATTGTCTATAAGTTATGTTCCCAATTTCAAGCACTGGTTGCTCTACCAAAAACTAAAATGTCACTTTTTCGGTGGACTGGTCCAAGATTGGGAGTGCACAATATGACACAAGGTCTCCTTGCATAAAGGTCCTTAAGCTTCACTCCACTGTGGAAAAAACTGCAAATATCTCCCCTTCTGTTGTTCCCTGGAAGATACTTAACCGTTAATGGCCAGACTTTGTGACTAAAAGTCTTTATGCCTAGCAGTGGCAGACCAAATCCTTTGAGATAACACATACTGGCTCTACAGGTGCACAATTTCAGTTACTCACTTTTGGCACTTTAAGGATGCTGATTTTTTTTTGTAGGCAGATGACACCGGAAGTTGCAGAGCTAAAACAGTATATAGTAGTGTCACCTGTCTTGTTCTCTACATACTGCTCAAACTTCTAATGCTCATCAATAGGCAGAAGACTGAGCTGGACAGCATAAAAGTCCACAGCACCTGGTTTCAGTTACCACCAGTATAGTATCCCATGCCATGCTCAGCTACTTCACACAGGCATCAAAGGAGGAGGATTGTGGAGCCAGCTCATAGTTTAGACACATACCACCCACTGGTCTACCACGTAATAGGCACCTGGACTTAAACCTTACAGTAGCTTTCATTTTAATTGCTAATTAGGAGAAGAATAAGGGAATTCCTGAAAAACAAAAATTACAAGCAACCTCTATACAGTTCAATTTACTTACCCACTATTTCAATCAGGTGACCCAGCGCCACCCCATCCCGAAGGTCAAGACGCAGGTCCTGAACTGGATTAACCTCAGCTTTTTTCTTTAACTGTGAATTCACCCAGGCGACATAGGCCTGAAGCTGTTGCTGAAAGACAAAATACATATTTTTTTTCATTAGATACAAATAAAAACATACTAAAGAAAAATACCAGTTATATGCAACTGTTAAAATAGAGGTTTGTAGTCATACAACCAGAACCCATGAAGATGGAAGCACAAGAGACAAGAAGATGCTCAGAGCAGGACTTCAATGTGGTGGATCAGCAAAATGGATGTATGACTCTGCTAGTTGCGCACTACACTAAACTCATCAGCCGGCTCCACTCCACTCCATTAATTAGGTTCACCCAAAATATCTCTTCCAGCAAGAGATAAATGAAGCTCCCCACCATATAAAGTCTCACTTTTGTATTATCAATAATTTAAAATAAGTGGGAACAAAAGAAGAGAGAGTGAATGGCCCCCGCAGTGTTTTCAGTAGGCGGAGCTGAAAACTTAGCAGAAGCCAGCTCACTTTTCGGGGCATTGAGATATGTTGTATTTCGATAGGATGTTCAACCCATGTGAATCCAGTCAATGTCATCACTTTACCTAAGGCTGGTACATTAGTTGGCTCTCACCTACAAACTAGAGTATGTGTAAGCCTAATGCAGACACACTAGATTGTGAGTTCTTTCATGAGACTGGGACAGCAATGAATTGTTTCATGTTAACTGCTGTGGAAAAAGCACAATAAAATGAGTAAAAGGAACATATGGAATCAACACATGCTTGTAAGTGTGAAAATAGACAATGGCACCAACGGAAGGTAGGAAGCTTGGATGAAATGAAAGCATAGGAGCATGATTTTCTAAACCAAAATATATACTGTATGTACTATATATATATATAT